TGTTGTTGTTGTTGTTGTTATGTGCCGTCGAGTTGCCTGCGACTCATAGCGACCCTATGTACAACAGCCCTAAACTCCGCTCTGTCCTGTGCCAATCGCACTGTCTCTGACATTCCCATCCCGATTATCCCAGTCACTGAATCAATCCACCTCATAGAGGGCCTTCCTCTCCTGCGCCGTCCCTCCACCCTCCCAAGCATGATGTCCCTCTCCAAGGACCGGTCTCTCCTCACTACTTGTCCAAAGTAAGTTAGATGGAGCCTCAGAATCCTTGCCTCCAAGGAGCCACCCGGTTTAACCCTCTCCAGGACAAATCTGTTTGTTTTCCTAGCAGTCCATAGTATTCTCAGTACTCTTCTCCAGCACCACAGCTCAAAGGCATCAGTTCTCCTTCTATCCTCCTTGGTCATTGTCCAACTCTCTGATGCATAACAGGTGATTGCGAAGACTATGGCCTGTATCAGACGCACCTTAGTCTCCAGAGAGACACCACTGCTCTTCAGCACTTTGGAGAGGTCCCTAACAGCAGACTTTCCCATGGCAATGCGCCTTTTAATTTCCTGGCTGCTGGTGCCAAGACTGTTGACTATGGAGCCAAGCAAACTAAAGCTGTGTACAATCTCAATCTCTTCACCATCCATCCTGATGCTGCCGATTGGTCCAGTGGTGAGAATCTTTGTCTTCTTGACATTGAGCCTCAATCCATATTGTAGGCTGCAGTCCTTGACACTCTGCAGCAGGTGCTTCAGGTCCTCCTCAGTTTCAGCAAGCAGGGTTGTGTCATCCGCATAATGCAGATTGTTGATAAATCGTCCACCAATCCTGAGACAGGAAAGGGTAAGATGGAAAAATTAATGGACGTGAGAATCACAGAGGGAAACTCAAACTCACTGCTGTTTAACCACAACCAACTCATAACTGGCCCTTCATTAGGTTTCCAGAGGCTGTATGTAAATTAACAGGAGATGGCCTATCTTTTTTCCTTGGAGCTGCTGGTGGATTTGAACCATCTGCTTTTGGGTTAGCATGAGGCTCATGAGGCCACCAGAGCTCCTTACAAAGGAGCTTTATGCGTCAGGAAACAAATGTTTGTGAATGAGTGAATAGAAAACTAATTATCTTTGTAAACTTTCACTTAAATCAGAAAAAAAAATGCTGGCTACACATCAGAATAGAAATAAGGAAATCTATTTTGTATTTGGTTTTTATGTAAGGTGTGATATGTGTATATGGTGAAGATTTCTTTTTCTGCATATAGAAATCTAATTTTCTCAGCACTATTTTTTGAAAAAAATTCATTTTTTTCCATCAAATGGACTTAACAATGTAAACAACCAACCAACCATTGGTTTGTGCATTTATTTCTTGACTCACAGTTCTATTCCATTGTTCTATATGACTCTTGCTAAACTAGCAGTAGGCTGTTTTGATTTCTGTAGTGGTGTACAATGTTTAAAATCGGGTCGGTTGAGGTCTCTTACTTTGCTCTCTACATAACTTTAATGCTTTGAGGCCTTTGCTGTTCTCTGTAGAGTTGAGGATTAGGTTTTCGGTTTCTGTTTTGATGTACATAAATTGTTCATTTTTAGGAGGTCCCAGTCATCTAACTTAGTTTCAGCTTTTCGACAATTTTTAGTTACATTTACTATTTAACAAAATAGGGCCCCAAAGTTTGCCCCTGTATTTTCTTCTGTAATCTTTGTAGTTTTAGATTTCACATTTAGGTCTTTGATTAATCTTCAGATTGATGAGATGTGTGGTTTTTTTTAGTATAGTGTGGACCCTTTTTAATTTTCCTACAAATCAATGTCCCATCTTGCCAGCACCATTTGTTAAACAGACCACCTCTCTTCTGTTTAATGGAATTTGGCTCTTTGTCAAAGATCAGCTATCACAGGTGGGTGGGGTCTCAGTTCTGTTCTGTTGGCCTGTGTGCTGGCTGTTGTTATACCAGCACCAGGCTGTTTTGACTACCATGGCTGTGTACCATTTGGGATCAGAAACTGAGTCTTCCTGCTTTGTTCTTCAGCATTGCTTTGTTTACTCAGGGTCTTTTTCCTTTCCATGTGAAATTGGTGATCAGTTTTTCCATCTTGTTCCACGTAGATTTGATGATGTACTATTCCATGTCTGCAAAGAAGGCTCTTGGAATTTTGATGGAAATTGCATTGAATTGAAGGTTGGCTGTCTGAGTGCGTTAATTCATGAATATGAAATGTCCTTCCATTTATTTAGGCTGTCTTTAATTTTTGCTAGTAATTTTTTTATAGTTTTCAATGTACGAGTCTTTCACTTTCTTGGTTCAATTTACTCTCAGGTACTTTATTCTTATAGATGCTACTTTATCTAAAAGAATTGTTTAGTTTCCTTTTGAGCTTGGGCACTGCTGATTTATGGCAGTCTACCCTGGTGTGTGTGTGTGTGTGTGTGTGTGTACCTTGTGTCCTGCCACTTTGCTGAGTTCGTTTATTAGCTTTGATAGCTTTTTTGTGAAATATTTGAGGTGGGTTTTTAAAAAATTATTATTATTTTACACATGAAGTAATGCAATTTGTAAAAAGAGACAGTTCTACTATACTTCCTTCTTTCTTATTTGGATATCTTTTCTTTCTTTGTTGGTTTGTTCTGGTTAGGATTTCCAGTACATTGTTGAATAGTATTGGTGAGAAAGAGCATCCTTGTCATCTTCCTAATCAGTAGACCTGCTTTTAAGAGATTCACTGGTTTTGAAAGCAATTGCATATAAAAAAAACATAGTGATATTACAGTATCAAGAATACACCAAGACAAAAGTGCCCAGAGTTTGGGAGTCTTGCAAGTTTTATTTGAAGTAAATGGATTAAATTTTATAATTTGCATGTGGCAAGTGACAAAATAGAACAAAGATTTCCGGATACTGTTTTCAAGATTTCTCTGCAAGTAATTTATTTGGGATAGTCTTGGTTTGTGAAAATCAGACACCAGATTTAATAAACTGTCACTATATTTTTGCTTTTTAATGTTAGCTTTTGAAGTAAGCATATTTATCTTGATTTTTTTGTGCAAGAATTTTTATTAGATAAATGCAATTTTTAGATATCCATGACAGGAATTTGCAGAATATAATTTCAAAGTTGTCAAAATCTGAGTTCTGTCTTTACCAGTGGCTTATAATGAATGTAAATTACACAAGCGATGACTATGAATTTCTGACTTTGTAGTAATCAAAACCACCACCGCATGACTGCACAACATGGTGAATGCAATTAACGTCACCCAGTTGCACACTGAAAAGTGGTTAAAATGAGAAAAAGTTTTTGTTAAATATATTTTGCCACAATAAAATAAATTTAAGCAAACAAGAAAATGACCACCACAACCTTAGATTGTGATACTAGCTGTGTCTGGAAAGCATCATTGGGGAGTTAACATTTCCCCCCCCTTCTTCATCCCCTCATCATCATTGCCTCTGACAATATAATAAATCCATTCTCCAAATCTCAGAAGTAGGAATACTCTAAATGGAAAAAGTGTGGGTTGGAGTTTTAATTTTGTATGGCTCAGAATAAATGATTCACTGTCTCTAAACTTCAGTTGACTCTAGTGTAAAATGTAGATAGTGTTGTCCTACTTAACTTCTTGAGTTCATGACTTTTCCACATTTGTATCTCTAACACCTTAGTCTGGAGTGCAGCATGTAGTTGTGATTCATTTTTTTATTGAATTGAGTCAAAAGTGTTCATCCAAAAGGAAAAGGAACTATATCTAGCAAGCACAATTCAGAGGGAGAAATGTTAATGAAAAAGGTTAATGGAGGGATTGATGAAGACAAGCTTAATGAGCCTTCTCTTCTGGACCTCAATCCTATTCCCTTCTGCTTGGCCATCACAGTACTGAGTAGGTCAGCTGAACCGAGTAGCAGAGAAAACATGTCTTCAGTATTCTTAAATGAGTTCAACGTCAGTAAATCCAACTTTTGTGAGAAATTATACTGGAAAATTTAGCTAGATTGTGGTCTCCCTTAGTCTTTGCTCTGCTTTCTATTGTGCTGTATAGATTGCATTGGCTAACCACCAGCAGTGTGTATAAGTTTATATTATATGGATATTTTTGGTATTTATTAAAATGCAATCTTTAAAAAAAAGACAACTTTTTTTTCTTATGTGTATTTTTTTTCTTTAATCTCTTAGGCATAGTGTCACATATCCTTAACTAATTTTATAAAGCTTAAAATTTGTAATTTCTTGTATTATCCCCTGAGCTTGCTACTGGAAATCACATGTATTTCTGTTGTGAAGGGTGACTTATTTATTTAAACGTAACACAGGCTACCTGCATGTAGGACAGCAATAATATATCTGAGATTTATTTGAAATTTAGAAATTCTGCATCATTTGCTCAAGGACCTACACTCACTATTTTCCTGAACCAAAGTGTATATGTGTACTTTGTATAAACCATACATAATTTATTTGTGTGTAGATATAAATTTAAGAGGATTGAGTTTGAATTTACATTAGCCAATTTATTGCAGTGTGCCTTTCTTGCAGTTGTAGTTTTATTATTTTCACATGTACTGTTCTAATGGAAATAGATTTAGTCAGATAATATTAGTGAGTGGTGATAATTAAAAAATGATAACTATAAAGTAGTGCTGACAGAATATTTACATTGTACTTAGATTTTACTACTAGGGCATGATTTCCAATCTTCACTTCTAAATATTAAGAGTATCTTAATATAGTAATGCTTTTGCCTTGTATATTAGCAAAAATTAAGTTTGTTCTTTGATTAGTTTTCTAGACTACTAGGATTTTCTTCTATGTGTAGTAAGTTTTGCCTTAATATCAATCTCCTTTTCAAAGTCTTTGGAAATGTATTTATTGAATTTTACTTCCCCGTGTCTAGGTGATATTTCCCGATTTTAGATGAAGCAAGTTAGGGATTGTACATTTTAATATGGTAACACTTTTTGTGCATGTATGCCGTGATTTTTTGTGATGGGTTTTCTGCTTTTGTAGTGGATGATGCTGGCAAGATTGAACATGATGGTTCCTCTGGAATGACCATGGATGCAGAGTCAGAAATTGATCCCTGTAAAGTAGATGGCAGTTGTCCTGAAGTCATCAAAGTCTACATTTTTAAAGCTGACCCTGGGGAGGATGACTTAGGTAAGAGGACACCTTCAGCCTATTAGACATTCTGAATCAGTCTTCTTCTGGTTACTTCTGAAGTTCCTTGATTGAGAACATTTGAAATCTTTTCTGAAGATAACTTTAAACAAGAAATTCCAGTGTATGTAGAAAACAATAAATGAAGCATGCAATGAAGTTTGTAGATTAATTCTTAGAGCTGTCATCTTCCTTCATAGGTGGAACAGTAGACATTGTGGAGAGTGAGTCTGAGAATGACCATGGAGTTGAACTACTTGATCAGAACAACAGTATTCGTGTTCCAAGGGAAAAGATGGTTTATATGACTGTAAATGACTCTCAGCAAGAAGATGAAGATTTAAGTAAGTATATGGCCGTTCTGTGGGAAGAAACTTGATGCTTCAATAAGGTCTTTTTTGTTTTGTTTTAAATGTAAATAGTATTGAAGGGGAGCTCTGGTGGCTTGGTGGTAAAGAATTGGATTGCTAATGCAAAGGTATGTGGTTTTAATCCACAAGCTGCTCCATGGAAAAAAGATGGCCACTCTCCTGCTGTGCAATATACTGCCCCTGAAAATATGCTAGAGGTTCAGCTATGAGTCAACTCTGACTCGCTGGTACATAAAAACCACAGTATTTAAAAGAAGTAGCATTATTGTAGAGGTAGTTGTACTGCCCTATTCTAGGGGGAAACCTCAGAGACTCTTTATGTATACATAGAGTATTGCTTGAAAAACAGATTGTTATGAAAGTCATCAAGAAATTTATGATTCATTAACATATATTTGTGTGTTTACTCCATGAAAGCAATGTTTAGGTATATAACATTTGAAGCTTCTACGTCTATTGCCTGAATTCAAGTCAAATTATCTTCCTTGTGGTATGTAGATCTTTTCACAGAAGCTTTTTATACTCTCCTGCACAGATGTTGCCGAAATTGCCGATGAAGTTTATATGGAAGTGATTGTGGGAGAGGAGGATGCTGCTGCCGCCGCTGCTGCCGCCGCTGCCCATGAACAGCAAATAGATGACAATGAAATAAAAACCTTCATGCCTATAGCATGGGCAGCTGCCTATGGTAAGTCACTTTGCAGCTCCTAGGCTTGAGCTGGTTGGCTCTTCAGCGTGAGTTCATGGTTATAAACAGTTTCTGTGATCTTAGGTTTGAGAAATCGGAAATATCTGTACCCTGTAAAGCTTATTTGATTTAAATTAGAGTAGAGGAACATTATAAAGCCTACTTTTGATCTTTATTTTTAACAAGCATTTGTTTTATGGGTCTATTATGTAGAAGGAAGTATTGCAAGAAGAGGTTCTCAGGCTGAAGCTTTTCCTCTTGACTCTATCTGACCCATGACTTTACAATGTTGGGAGAAAACAGGAGAGTTCATGGGGCAAAATCCTGACATACGGGTTTTAGATTTGGAAGCTAGGCATTTCCTCCAGTGGTGCTTTAAATGCGCTCAATAAAACCCATTACCTAGAATGGGGAATTTCTGTCATTCATGAGTATCATGGCTTAGTTTTCATTGTTATATTTAATAAAGAATCCCTTATTCTTTATCATTTATAATACTGTATAATTTTGTTTTCTAATGCGCATTGTTAGGTAATAATTCTGATGGAATTGAAAACCGGAATGGCACTGCAAGTGCCCTCTTGCACATAGATGAGTCTGCTGGGCTCGGCAGACTGGCTAAACAAAAACCAAAGAAAAGGAGAAGACCTGATTCCAGGCAGTACCAAACAGGTGAGGGCACATGAGTTGCACAGTGCAGCGTTCTCTGCCAGCTACCAGGCCGCACTCTAGTATGTATCCACAGAGGTGATGTGATGGCATTTTAGCTTTTAGACCTTAGGTAGTACTTTTATATATTGAATTTGAAAATATAATTTTAAGAATTCACTGATATTCATGAATGATTTCCTTGGATAAAAGAAACAGGAGATGGAACAAACAGGGATGAAAAAAAAAGGTTTTTTTAAACTTAGGTAATTGTAAGTGGGAATGCAAAGAAATCCCTCAAATATGTTACAAGCAAGCACTGACTTTCAAGAAACCAAATGAATGTAGTCCAGGACTCTAATTATGCTGCCATAAAGCAGGCATAATTTACACGGCAGCAGGACAAGTACTTCATGTGACATGGTCCTGTCTGTTCTTGTATACCAATTTGCATATTAAAGTTGATTAGATATCTTTAGTCTTTAAAGAAACAGGAGATCCAGCCAAAAATTAGCATAAGTCTTGGTTTTTTGCAATAACCAAAGCAAAAACATGATAACTGAATTTAATTTTGATGAATAATTTTTCACAGATTGTTAAATTGATAACGCTTTGGTCACTCATTGATAGAAGTTACATATTCATTCACCATTTTTTTACAACTAGAGGGAGTTAGATTTATAGTAATACTGAATGAGTTTTCCACACCAGGTTCTTATTACGTCTAGGTGGCTATATCTCATATGTTGAAAAAATGGTAAAAGAAATGTTAAGCAGCAAATAGCATAATTTAGGTTCAGAACACAATTTAAATTCTTAAAGAAAACAGAATAGAACTTTGATCCCTCATGTGCCTTTCTTTTCCTTTTGTTAGCAATAATTATTGGCCCAGACGGACATCCCTTGACTGTCTATCCTTGCATGATTTGTGGGAAGAAGTTTAAGTCTCGTGGCTTCTTGAAAAGGCACATGAAAAACCATCCTGAACACCTGACCAAGAAGAAATACCGCTGTACTGACTGTGATTACACTACCAACAAGAAGCTAAGTTTACACAACCACCTGGAGAGCCACAAGCTGACCAGCAAGACCGAAAAGGCCATTGAATGCGATGAGTGTGGGAAGCATTTCTCCCACACTGGCGCCTTGTTTACCCACAAAATGGTGCATAAAGAAAAAGGAGCCAACAAGATGCACAAATGTAAATTCTGTGAATACGAGACAGCTGAGCAAGGGTTATTGAATCGCCACCTTTTGGCAGTCCACAGCAAGAACTTCCCTCATATTTGTGTGGAGTGCGGTAAAGGTTTCCGACACCCATCAGAGCTCAAAAAGCACATGAGAATCCACACTGGGGAGAAGCCATACCAGTGCCAGTACTGCGAATATAGGTCTGCAGACTCTTCTAACTTGAAAACTCATGTGAAAACAAAGCATAGCAAAGAGATGCCATTCAAATGTGACATTTGTCTTCTGACTTTCTCGGATACCAAAGAGGTGCAGCAACATGCTCTTATTCACCAAGAAAGCAAGACACACCAGTGTTTGCATTGCGACCACAAGAGCTCAAATTCAAGTGACTTGAAACGCCATATAATTTCAGTTCATACAAAGGACTATCCCCACAAGTGTGACATGTGTGATAAGGGCTTTCACAGGCCTTCAGAACTCAAGAAACACGTGGCTGCCCACAAGGGCAAAAAAATGCACCAATGTAGACATTGTGACTTTAAGATTGCAGATCCATTTGTTCTAAGTCGCCATATCCTCTCAGTGCACACAAAGGACCTTCCATTTAGGTGTAAGAGATGTAGAAAGGGATTTCGACAACAGAATGAGCTTAAAAAGCATATGAAGACCCACAGTGGCAGGAAAGTGTATCAGTGTGAGTACTGTGAGTATAGCACTACGGATGCCTCTGGCTTTAAGCGGCATGTTATTTCCATTCATACAAAGGACTATCCGCACCGTTGTGAATACTGCAAGAAAGGGTTCCGGAGACCATCGGAGAAGAACCAGCACATAATGCGACATCATAAAGAAGTTGGCCTGCCCTAACTGTACTTCTACAGACTTCTGTAAAGATATTGGCCTTGAAGCAGAAATTCATTCTAAAGCTGAAATTCATTTTAAAGCCAATCAGTGTCGTCCACCTATAATACTGTATATTGATTTATGCTGTGTACAAATAGAATTAACTGCTTCTAGTTGACTTTTTTTTTTACCGTTTGTTCAGTAGTGTGTTCTGAATTCTATCCAGTTTGTTTAATAAATGGGTAAATGTGGCAACAAGCAAGTTGCTTTTAATAAAATAATCCCTGATTCTATATGGAAGTTTTCTATCTTAGAAGTTTTCTATTTATTTAAATATTTACCTTGCTTACCTTGATGGTACTCTTCTAAGACCATTTAACTTAAAGTTAAGGTAACTTTAGATTGGTAACTGCAAGTATTTCATGTTGATTCATTCCCCCTACATATGCATTTCTCACAGTAAAATTACCAAGAGACATTTAATATAAATGGGAGATTTTACAGTTGGACCTAGTGACCATACCATGGAAATAATTTACTTGTCTTATTATTGTCAAACCTTGTGACAATGAGAGTTTCCATTTGAGCTTTTACATCCCTAGCATTACTGAACAAAAGACTGGCTGGGTTCATGTTTAATTTTCCTTTTGTTTAGCAAACAAAATATACTTCCTTTGACTTTCTTTGGAGTATTCACATCTTTTGTCAGCGTAGTAAGTGTTTAGAAAACCTTATTGATAACTTTTGCTTGATCTTGTTGCATTTTTATTATTCTGTCTGTGCTGCTTTGTCTTGGAATGATTGTGTGCTACCAATGAGACTTATTGAGGACTGAATTCTGGAATCTCCTAGAGGTAATTCGTGGCTCATAGAATCTTTTGCAACTTTATATATGTAAATGTACCCTGAATTATATATAAATACACATATATATAACATGTATCTGTGTGTATTGCTTATTTTACATATTTATACACACAATCCCAAGTAGTAGTTGTTTAAAATCTATAATGAAAGTATTAAATTTACAATAACATGAAAGAGCCAGGGATGCATGAGAGAGCATTTTGTAAATTATGCTCTTCAGAGAGACTACTCAGGTGAAGAATTAGAAGGAAAATAAGGACACTAGTATTTTTAAAGAGTAAAGGTATTTTCCTTTAATTATCTTTGGTAATTGAAAAATAGAAGTTGATTCTAGATAGAATGTTTTCATACAGTTTCAGCTTCATGCCTTTATATTTTTCTGAAAAGCTAATGAGTATCCAGACACAGCTCCCTGGGTTTGTTCCGAGGAAAGAGCTCTGTGTCTCACCAAGTGAGGGGGATTGAGAGGAAGTATCAGCTCCAGCTACCAGAGAATGGGTGCTAATGACAGCTTACACATGGCACGTCCAGCCTGTGTTGTTATTTCTTAGCCCGTTACAGTTAGCTATCTTAGAAAACTTAACACTCGAGGTGGCTTTGATTAGAAGATAAAGGTGTGTCTTTGAGTGCATAAAGAAAATCTGAGGCCTTATTTGGAATACCACCAAGTCTTTCACAGTTTTGTTTTTCACTGAGAGTTGGGTGATTTTGGCTTTTTGGTTGTTTTTGTAAAAAGAAAAACAACAAATCTGAATTGGAATTATAATTTGTAAGATCAACTCAGTTAATTTGGTTTTGCTAATACGGTTAACAAATTTGATTATGTTAGTATAAATCTTGGAGAACAGAAGAGGCTGTTTGAGGTCTGTGTTTTGGCCGTTGACACATACGTATCTGGCAGTTCAAGAGATTTGAAGTTTTCTTATCACTTGATAGTTACTCTGTCATTTCATTATGGTGCTGCACCCTTCCTTGCTGTCGAAGTTTTACCTTCCACCTTTCTCTTTGCCACTGATATTTTTATGTAAGAGTTGTATCTACAGGGTTAGAGATCGAAACATCTGATATTTGGAAAGCCTTTGAATTGCTAAATTGATTCAGTCTAGTTTTAAATCGAGTGCTTTGGGCTGATTGGAGCTTCAGTTTATATGCCGGTCAAGGGCAAGGGATGAATCTTGACATTCCTGTACCCATTTGAGGACTTCCTGGGTGGTGCACATGGTTAACATGGAGCTGATGGATTTGAGCCCACCCAGAAGTATTTCAGAAGGAAGGCCTGGTGATCTGCTTCCGAATATTCAGCCATTAACAACCCTACAGAGCACAATTTACTCTGACACACGTGCTGTTGCTGTTAGAGTTGAATCAATAGCACCTAGTTGGCTATGCCCTCTTTGCTGCCATACATGGCTTTTGTTTTTGTTTTTTAAGTAACTTATAGTTATGTCATTCATTCCCCTGCAATACTGTTCTTGAAATCTGTTTTTTTCTTTTAAAATCTCCCTTAGTTTTTTTATTTCTCCATGAAATAATAGAAAACACTTAAAATGAAAATGGAAGCATTTAAAAAAAGTCTTGTAAAATTCATACAAAAAAAAGAAATAATTGGTCATTTAATTATATTTTTTTAAATAAACTGAAACATAAAGAATGCACCACTTTACACACTTTATATTTCCCTTACATAGTCTGGAATCATACATTTTTGTTTTTAAAGCACAATATTAAAACCTTTAAAAGGTATTTAAGGGTTTGGTCAAGTGGATATGATAAAATGTATTTGTCTGTATAAAGAAAAAATGAAATTGTAGTCACTGTTATGTACTGACATTAGTTACAACCTAGTTTTAACTCTTAAAACAATTTTGATTAGCAAAGCTAAAAAATGGATGTTTCAGTTAAATGTTTTAAAGAGGTACAAATTTTTACAAGGACATAATATAAGTTATTGTTCTGTAGAAATATCCTATTAAATATTGTATGTCCCTCCCTCTGTACACTTTGTAAAAAAAAAGTAAAAATACCTAAAAAGAAAATCATATAGGGATGTGTGACATTATTGTAATTGTGTACTTGAGAATAACGTGCAAAAATAAAAATCAGAATATTTTCCTGTTAATGAATGTTTAGTCTATTTGATACCAGTACTAAGTTAATGCTTTTTTCTTAAGAACAAAAAAAATGTACAGTTTTTGTAAACCTAATAAACATCAAAAGCAGTGGATTATTTTCATTTCCCCATTTCTTAATTCATTTTACCCAGCAATGAAATGCAAAAAGGCTTGATTGCTTTGAATTTTGTGACATGGATGCAAATACAGGTAATTTTTCAGTCCTGTGAATTTGCTAGTAATATTTCAGAGAAGTTAAGAGGCAATTGGTGAGTCCATTGATGAGTATGTCCTTGAAATGTATTTTTTTCTTTTACCTTCATAAAGAATTTGATCATTAGCATCTCCCGTTCACCTGAGAGAAATTCCCCATGCATAAAGTGGGTTTTAAGAGTACTTAGGTTCCATTCGTATAAATCCCCAGCACATTTAGTCAGCAGGGACTATCATCACCACCACAGTAGGAGACCTTGCCCTAGAGTTACTGTGCCCAGTTTGGAGACTTCTAAGTGGTAAGCAATTACACTACCAGCCAGCCGCTCCATGGGTTATTTACAGCCTCAGAAAATTGGCTGGAGGGTCAGCTATGAGTTGGTTGCGACTCAAGGGTACAAAAATAGATTGTAGGGAGCTCTAATGGTGTAATTGATAGTTGTGCTGCTAACCCAAAGACTCACAAGGTTCAAATCCAGTAGGGCTCCATAGGTGAAAGATGGGCAGTCCCTTCCCTTTAGGGTTTACAGCCTTGGAAACCCAAAAGAGCATCCCTATGACTTGATGGTTATGAGTGAATGATTCTTATGTGCTAGAAATAAACAGTGAAATACAAAGTCAGGTAAACGTTCTCAAGAGTCAAAAAATAATACAGATTTGAGCCATCGTAGATGTAGGAGAGGAGACTTCTTTTTCAACTATGTAGGATTAAGTATTTGCCTAGTAGTTGAAACAGTAAATCATCAAAGGCTGAGTTAAATGATAAAACGTGGTGAGAATCACTCTGCTCACTCTTCTTGGCTGGTTGTCTGGGGTTTTTTTGTTTTGTTTTGTTTTGTTTTTACAAATTGCATCTAAGCAGGCCTGTGATCTGCAGATCTCAGGATCAACACTTTTTGTTACCCACAGGTGCTAGGATTGGGTGAGAAAGGGCATTTGTTGTTTTGTGTCGTCAAGTCTCTAGCGACTCATTGAACCCTATGCGCAACAGCTCTGAACCCTGCTCTGTCTTGTGCCACCCTTAGCGTCTCTTGACACCCCTCCTCCCATTACGCCAGTGACTGAATCAATCCGTCTCATCGAGGGTCTTCCTCTCTCGCACTGTTGCTCGACCCTCCCAAGCATGGTGTCCCTCTCCAAGGATTTATCCTTCCTTGGATATGTCCAAAGTATGTCAGACGAAGCTTCAGAATCCTTGCCTCCAATGAGCAGCCTGATCTCACCCTCTCTAGAACGAACCTGTTTGTTCTCCTGGCAGTGCACAGTATATTCAAATATTCTTCTCCAGCTCCACAGCTAAAAGGCATCAACAGTCATCATCTTAAAAGTGTGGTATTTCAAAGCAGTGGCTTTCACTGTGTGACCTGGAGACTGGCAGCATCAGTGGCCATCAGGGAACTTGATACAGATTCTCAGGTCTCCTTTCAGACCTCGATTGGACTCTGGGAGTGGGCCTGTCAGTCTGTGTTAAACCTGTCCTCCAAGTGTTTCTGATAGATCGACTCTCATGTTTGGAAAACAGTCTTGGAGCACCTGAGGGATTTGATGACTGGTGCAGTATCCTGTGTGGAAGATAGGGAAAATCACAAAACTGAAACAAAACACCAGAGATGAGTAGGGAAAGAACAAAAGGGCCCAGACTCTTTTTATACCTTTGGTTTGCCCATTTTAAAGTGTAGGCTTGTGTATCTTTTTTGACCTTCCTTAAGTTACATACCTCAAAGGTAAATCGGAGGAAGGAAGACTTGGCAAGTAAAGAATGACAGTAAAATTAATTGTGTGTCTTATATGGATGTGTTATTAATGGTTCTAGGGTTGCTAACATTGTTCATATTTGTAAACAGTCATGTTGGTACCTTCTACAGCTGTTCAGGTAAGGTTAAAATGAAGCTTGTCCTTGGCAGTTTTGTTTTCTGCTCTTTCATTGTGTGTATATTGTTTGCCTTTTGCATCAAATAATTCTTGTTATCTATTATTCCTGTTGTTTTTTACATCTTTGCTGCTATTGAAAATTCCAATTTTAAGTTAGCTTAATTGGAGTGTTTGTTATAGGCAAGGCACACATGAGGAAGCTTTCCTTGTACAACCAATAAAAGCTTCAACACATCACAAGGTGAATTTGATGCCACCTCAAGTAGTTGGCCACTTCTAGCACCAATGAAACGATCACT